GGATAGTGTCGTTGGAAAATAGACTCATATGATAGGTCCCGTCATTGCATTTGCATGTTCTTGCATTTAACCCCCAATAGTGGGTTCACTTACGAGTATTTCTTAAAATACTCAAGCCACGTGCTACCTCTATTTCAGGTTAAGGCAAGACATTCCTGTACGGTTAACGACGACATTGCAACTCGATACCATGACACATGCATAGAGTAGTTGTATTTATTTTCTTAGCCTTAGGCTAGAATATAATGTTTTTAATTTAAAGGTTTATTTATTTTATTTAGTTTTTTGTTGTGTCGTTTTTAGAGGCGTTCTCAAAACACATAAGTCTATGACTGTGTTTTAAGCTGAAGGTTATGTTTTATGAAAGTTTAAACGAAATATTTCCGCATTTAATGTTCATGATATGTGTACACTAGCGACCTTAAATTAAATATAAAATTTTGAGTCATTACACTAGGCTTGGATCTTTACATATGAACTATGTGACACCGAAGAGTTATTACCTATACCAACAAGATACATTTTCTTTTTCATGGCTCAATCACAGGTAACATAACCATGTTGCAAGGAATGCAGAAAAATGTTGGGATCAATTTTATTGTGCTTGGAATAAGAGTTCTTCTTCTCATCACAGACACCTTCGTATAAAATGAATCAAAGTTCAATAATAAAAGTGTAATAACTACTCTTGCTTGTGCAAGCATTATGTATTATAAAATAAAGTTAGAAATAATTACGTTGATGATCAAAATGAAGAATAAAGAAAACTCGTTTCTAAATTCGAGATTCAAATCAATACACAAGATGTTTGATCAATACCATTTGTATGACTCTAGCGGCCAAATTCTAAACATAACAATTTAGCTCTCAACAAATCTAAAATAAAAACTCTATTTTTTTTGTTAGGTCTAGAATGAAAAAAAAAAACTCCCATATTTTACCACTTTAACTGATGTGAGTTAAATACACCCATAACCTCCATATTAATATGATAGTTAATGATGGAATATGATAACATACATGGACTACAATTTAACTTTAACTCCCATATTAAAAATTAGATTAAATAACAAACAAATATTAAAATTAGAGTAAGAGGAATGCAATAAAAAAAAGTGTAACCTAGATAAAGTTTCATAAATTCAACCATGCAAATTAAAGTACATTTAATGCATCTATATCTTCAAGTTCAACTTTGCACGTCAGGTACGAAAAGACTTCAATATCTTTTAGAATTTTTTTTGATGAGCTCACCATATCTTGAACGTAAGTAATTTTTTGGCTCTCATCCTTATAATTAGATCTTGAGGTATGGAAATTCTTTGGTTATTGTTCATATCACTATGTTTTATGCTTTCATTGGTGCTAAAACTATGATTCGAACTCTTGCATGCACTTTGCTAAACTTTTGGCTCTGGATCTTGCTCTTGCTCATATATTACTAAAGATTTAGCTACACCACTCGCTTACATTTGAGATCTCATGCACACTTTGCTATTGCCCGGTCTCTTTTTCTCGAATTTTTTATCGTTCTATTTCTATCTTTGAGAGCTTAGTTAAATATTGTGATTGTACTTTTCATTTTCAACATCCTACTTTATTTAAAAAATATCGAAAGGTTTTAATAATACCTTCAAACTAAAAAAAAAAAAAAAAAAAAAAAAAAAAAAAAAAAAAAAAAAAAAAAAAAAAAAAA